GACATCACCTTGCTGACAAAGATCCACATAATCAAAGCTATGGTTTTTCCAGTAGTAATGTTTGGCTATGAGAGCTGGACCATAAAGAAGGCTGAGCGCCAAAGAATTGATGCCTTTGAGCTGTGGTGCTGGAGAAGACTCTTGAGAGTTCCTTGGATTGCTAGGATGTCAAACCGGTCAATCTTATCAAAGCTATGGTTTTTCCAGTAGTAATGTTTGGCTATGAGAGCTGGACCATAAAGAAGGCTGAGCGCCAAAGAATTGATGCCTTTGAGCTGTGGTGCTGGAGAAGACTCTTGAGAGTTCCTTGGATTGCTAGGATGTCAAACCGGTCAATCTTAAAGGAAATCAACCCTGACTACTCATTGGAAGGATTGATAATGAAGCTCAAGCTCAGATACTTTGGTCACCTAATGTGAAGAGAAGACTCTTTGTAAAAGACCCTTATGCTGGGAAAAATTGAAGGCAAAAGGAGAAAGGGATGGCAGAGGATGAGATGGTTACATAGCATCACTGAAGCAATGAGCATGAAACTGAGCAAACTCAGGGAGACAGTGAAGGATAGGAAGGCCTGGCGCAATATGGTTCATAAAGTCATGAAGACTTAACGACTGAACAACAACTGAGCTATGTATGTTGTTTATAAAGAAGCGTGGATATCACTGAAGATGAAAAAAAAAAGTTTGAAAACACCAAATAGGAATTCTCCTCTTTATTTCAGCAATACCTTTGTCAATGAATGAAGAAGAATAGCTACAAGAAACCAATTTGTTCTTAATTGGAGTGTTAATGACAAATCTTAAGCAATAATAAATAAAACAGCGAGTGTGTAATGGTATGTGAGAATGGCCCTGGGAGACAGAAGGAAGAGCCGCAGACTAGATAACCGTCATGCAAAAGGTATCTCAGCCTACAGAAGAAAGAGGGGTGTGGGAAGCATCTCAGAAGAGACCCTCCTAGTTTTCTGAAAAGTAAAACTAAAGGTGGGGAGAGGCGCTTTCAGACTTGCAAGATTCTGTTACTGTAACCTTAAAATAAAGGTAGTGTTAGTACTCATGGTTTGTGCTTCTTGCCTGGACTACCTCGAAGGGCTGACATCAACCTTGCAAGTCCCTTCTAAGACACTTTCCATGCCCCTTTTCCTTCTGTGGGCTGAGATACTTTTTGCATGACGGTTCTCTAGTCTGCAGCTCTTCCTCCTGTCTCCCAGGGTCATTCCCACATACCATTACAGAGTGACATTTCCCCAAATATAGCTATTCAAAAATTCTGAAGCCAGAACTGTAGTTACTTCATCTCTCCTACTTCAGCACTACAGAAATATAACAA